AGAAGGAATCTGCTATTGATTGTGGTTGGGAAGATAGGGTGAAGAATGTGAATGACACAGTCCTGTCCATCTCCACTATCAGATGTACAAATCAGAGCAAAACTCTGGGCAAGACATCATCATGGCATTATCATTTTATGATTATGTTTGGAGGGAAGAGCATAACAGATTGTTAAATTGCTTTCTAGTGCTTCAAAGTGAAAAGACCAAGGGTGGGAGTTCAACATCTTCATCTCCTAAGAGAGTGCCTCTGTCCCATACTGTTATCCTTAGGAATGATTTACAGTCTGTTGCTCATGGAGAATAGTGGGTCACAGTAGGTATGTTGATTTTTTTTCTCCCAGTTCCTTCTTTTTATAACTGCTTGGGAACTTTATTTATTTATTTATTTATTTTTGGTCTGAGAGAGCTGTGATGTGAGAGCAGGTCTGTAAAATAAATGCTGCTGCCTCTTTTTAATCACTATTAAGATGTTATAGGTTAAGAACCATGTGGGCTGATAAAATTGGGGGCTAAGATGGTTCTTTCACTTGTAAGACTTTACTAAGGTCACAAATAATACCATGTTAGTCCTTTATCCACCATTTATTCTTCTCTCAATACAACCTTTTGGCTTCTTATTTATTGAGAGCCTACAGGGAGAAAGGCGCAGCGCACACTGGGACAGATACCTCATCCCTTCTTCCCATCATTTTCTTTTCTGAATCTGCGCCTAAGTCACTAGTCTTTCTCTTATCTGTCCAGAGAAGCTTCACAGAAGGCAAAGAGAGAAATATTTCCACCCACTCATTCATTCAGTAGTCAATCTTTCTACAGTATTTGCTCAGTGTTCTCCACACGCTGCACTTTCTACCAAGCTGTGTGGAGGCCATGATGAACATGATGAGGCCACTGTGTTCCATCAAATACAACAGAAATAAACATGAAATTGTGATAGAAGGACAATGACAGAGAGGTGTGATAGCCGGAACAATGGGGGTTTGCTTTGAGACGTGGGGTCAGTGTCCTATCCATGAACTGTGGTTCGAGTGGTGACACAATTTTAAAAAATCTGGTGAGTCATATTAAATTTCAAAGGTAGCCTGGCGCAGTGGCTCATGCCTGTAATGCTAGCTCTTTGGGAGGTTGAGGCAAAAGGATTTCTTGAGGCCAGGAGTTTGAGACCAGCCTGAGCAACATGGTGAGACCCCATCTTTACAAAAATAAAAATTAAAAAAATTAGCTGGGCATGATGGCACATGTCTGTAGTACCAGCTGCTCAGGAGGCTGAGGCAGGAGGCTTGCTTGGGCCCAGGTGCTGGTGGGTTGCAGTAAGCTATGATGGTGCTACTGTACTCTAGCCCAGGCAAAACAGTGAGACCCTGTCTCAAAAAAAAAAAAAATCCCTCTCTAATTTTATTTTTATTTTGAGCCATATGATTACAGATAAGCAGAAAGTCTCATTTACATGCTGTGTGTCTTAAACATCTCTCTAACATTTGGTAAACAACCCCCCCACCCCCTGTCCCATTTTTTTTTAAAACAAAGATCAAGCTCAGAATAGCAACAGGTGGTAGATTCCAGCTGACCCTTATTTGATTTTTCTCGTTTATTTTAGTGTGTCCTTTTACTTATGGTTAGTGAGTTATATACGGTTTCTTTTACAAATAAATTATTTAAACAAATTGAGTCGATATAAAGAAACATGATAAGCAGATAAGAGCCAAGGTGGTACAAGGTTATGGCAAATTTGTACAAGTAGTATGGAAATGACTGAAAACAAAGCACTGTGCTCTGAATGAGAAATTCTGGGTTTTAGTCCCTGCTGCACCACCAGCTAGCTCTGGTACCTTGGGCAGTTTACGTAACCTCTCAGAACCTTAGTTTTCTTGTCTGTTTAAAGGAATGATAATCTCTACCCTACCTTGTTTGCAAGCTTGTCAGAATCTGATGAAGGAATGTGTAAAAGTGTCATCAAATGTAGACTTTGTACTACCATCCCAGAGAGGCAATGCAGTTTGATGTTGAGTGTGTTATGAGGGGGAGGGAGACTTGTCAACATTAAAACATTATTTATTATAGGCAAAGTGCCATATATTTTTGAGTATAGAAAGCTTGGAGTTTACAGTGTTGTAGGGGAGACAGAAACATATTAATAAATAGTTGTGTAATAACTCGCAGACTGTGATAATTATAAATGGGTTAAAAACCCTAGACAGATAGGAAGAAGTTAATTACATGAATATACGTGATAAGAATAGCCATCATTTACTGAGTACCTATTATCTCATTTGTTCCTCATAACTCAGAAACTGAGCTCAAAGAGGCTAAATAATTGACCCATGGTTAATAATGGGGATGATGATATTTATGACTGAATACGTGCTAAGTCCTTTATACACATCTTATTTAAGCCTCGCCACAAGCCTTTGGGGTGGGTACTATCTCCATTTAAGCAAACTAAGGCTCAGAGATCACGAGACTTGCAGACTTAGTGAATGATGCTGTTGCAATTTTAGTCAATGTTTGCCGTTGTCCTATGTATGTTTGGCTCCAAAGCCCATTTCTTCCTTTTCTACTGCACTCGGCGTAAGTCAGCAGCTGAGTTGAGGGACCTTGAGGTGGCTGTGTGCAGGGATAACCCATTGAGGGCTCTTTGTGAAATGCTAGATTCCAGTGTTGGCTGAGTTTCTCTAATGTGTTTGCTTATGTCACAACTCTTTCTGTTTCATAATTTAAGCTGCCCAAAGCATAAAGTCCTAGGATCATGTGAATGGCAGCACTGTTCCATGACATTATAAGGTGATGCTGGTAAGGACATTTCAAAAGTAGGTGAAAGAACTCAGTGCTAGGGTAAGGAGGGTTTACCCTAGCACCCAGTTCATCTAATTAGTGCAGGCCAAAAGCCGTATGTCCTGTGGGAACTTACAGAATCAATTCTTAATAGATTCAAAGGGATCTTCACGATATATTAAATCCAACCTCCTGATTTTACAAAATTTTTACAAAGAAAGGAGGTTAAGGGCCTTAGGTCATAGAGCGGGCAGAGTAGTCAAGACACCACACATCTCTGGTGTCGCAATTTTTTGTTCAGGACAGCAGTGGTTTTCAAAGTGTAGTATCCAGATCAGCTGCCTCAGCATCACCTAGGAATTTGTTAGAAATGCCCACCTCCAACCAACTGCATCAGAAACTCTGGGGCTCAGCAATGTTTTTTTTGTTTTGTTTTTGTCCCCACTTCCTGGTCCAATTCCAGCAATAGGTTTTAACAAGTCTTCTGGGTCATTCTGATGTCTGCTCACATCTGAGAACCGCTCCAAAGAAGTATCTGCTATATATTAATATTATACAGCATAGGGCAAGAAGAAGAGGGCGATTTAAGTCACCCCTCCCCCCCACAGACATTCTTCTCTCTGTTCCCAAGGAAGGGTTGAAGGGACTCATTATCAGGTCTACAGCACTCGGAGATACCTTAGAGGGAGATGAGTCTAGGGAACAAATGCTGGAGAGGCGTTTGTGGCCTGGGTGTGTTGTCTGGCCAATTCTGTGCCTGGAGGAGCTGGGGGAGAGGGGCTGGGTGGCAGGATGTTATGTTAGGCTCTGACTCCTGCCCCACAACACAGAGCAGCCAGGAATTGAGAGGAGGTTCTTTTGCACACCATCCCCACCATTTGCGTTCCTCAGCCTCTCTGAGCCGTGGTGGTGGCGTTCAGAACTCTGCAATGGATTTCCACAGGCAGGTGGCCCGTGCAAGTAAGGTGGAGGAGGGGTGCGCAGAATGTGAATGTGTGTGGAAGGTACCTGTGCGCCCCTTCTGAAGATTTTTTTCACTTTATTCTGAAGCGAAGATAATATCGGAAGCGGGGAAATAATACAAATTTATTTTTACTTTGGCAATATTTTGGCAACTGTATAGAAAATGGAACGGCACAGAAGTCAGAGTCTTTTTTTTTTTTTGAGACAGAGTCTCAGTTTGTTGCCCTGGCTAGTGTGAGTGCCGTGGCATCAGCCTAGCTCACAGCAACCTCAAACTCCTGGGCTCAAGTGATCCTTCTGCCTCAGCCTCCCGAGTATCTGGGACTACAGGCATGTGCCACCATGCCCGGCTAATTTTTTCTATATATTTTTAGTTGTCCGATTAATTTCTTTCTATTTTTAGTAGAGATGGGGTCTCGCTCTTGCTCAGGCTGGTCTCGAACTCCTGAGCTCAAACAATCCGCCCGCCTCGGCCTCCCAGAGAGCTAGGATTACAGGCGTGAGCCACCGCGCCCAGCCTCAGAAGTCCGAGTCTTATGGGTGGTTATCGCACTAGTTGCGGTGGGAAATTGAAGGCTGTGTGTAAGGCGGGTAAAGATTTAACAGAATATGGATGGGGATATGCAGGGGAGGGTGAGGAGGGGGAGAGAGCCTGCTGCCATTTGGACTTGGTGAGCTGTAGGTATAGCACCAACATAATGGGTGTCTGAGTCCTGGAATCACTTACCTATAAGGTCCTGAGCACAGGTGAATGATATCCCCTCCTTCCTTGTTCCTCAGGGCATATAGACATTGGACTCAGTCGTGGGTTCAAAACTCCCGCTGGAGCGTAACTTCCTAGAGCAAGATTCGATCTCTTGTTCATGGCTATATCTCAAGGCCCTAGAACAGTGTGTCTGGCACATACCAGGCGCGCCATAAACATTTGTTTAATGAATGAATCAATGAATGAATGAATGGTCACACTCCAAGCCTCCTTTCCTCATCTGTAAATGCCCTATCTGGAAAGGCTGTTGCATAATGAAATCACCTAGCTGTGAACTTGACACATAGTAGGCGCTCAACAAGTTGTATTTTTCCTTCTCCTTCCCAGTGGGCTGAGTCCCTAGGCGACCGCAAAAAAGGGGTTTCTCTCCCGCGCGTCGTCTCCACCTCCCCTCGCCCCCGCAGCCCCCACTGGGTCGCGGGGAGCACGTGGGCCCGGAAGGCGGGTGGGAAGGGGAGGGGGCGCCGGCCGGCGGCTCGCGCGGAGTCTGTCTCCCGGCTTACGTAAGGAGCGAGTCCCGCGCGTCCGGCCGGGGCTCGGAGGCTGGGCGGGCGGAGGCGGCGCCGCCCTGCGGGATCCGGGCTGGAAGCCTCTCGGAGCGCTGCCTCCAGCTGAGGTGTGTGTTTATTTGATTGCTTTGGTGGAGAGGCGCCGGGCTCGGGCTCCTCGCGCGCCCCACAGCTGGGGAGCGCATCCGCAACCCCGGGCGGAGGTGGGCCCCGCCGAGTGCAAGCGGGAGGCTGCGGCCGCTGAGCCCCCGGGGGATGTGACAGCCGCCGGGGAGGGGCCGAGACGCGGACTACACGTTGCCCACGTGCCGGGACCAGACAGGGGCTCAGCCCCTAGGCTGCCTAGTGCGTGGGACGGCGGGGGCGCGCTTCGAGTCACCCCTTTATCCCAGCTTCCCTGGCTCGGCAGAGACTGGCTTGGGGATGCCCGGCCGCCCGGCCCCCTTCTTGGAACGCGGCGTGAGGAGCGAGACAGGAAAAGACCGAGGTGGGAATGGCCAGGCCGACCTCTGACCTCCCTGGAGGCCGACCACGCAGGGCGGGGGCGCTGGCCCTCTCCAGAATCTCTGCGTGGGGGCGAGAGGGCGGAGGAAGGCGGGGAGGTGTAGCGTGGCGCCTTACTCCGCCTTTGAGTCGGTCCCAGTGCAGGGCTGAGGGGAGGGGTTGTCTCAAAAGTCTCTCCTTCCCCCTGTAGGGGCGGCCGGCGAGTCCCAGCGCGAGCTGAGGGTGCCAGAGATAGGGGCCAAGAAACAAAGTTTCCGGGGCTCCCTCCGGGGCCGCTGTCTGGGCTGCCCGTTTGGCCGCCCCCCTCCTCGCGAAGGCAATGGCTTCCAAACTCCTGCGCGCGGTCATCCTCGGGCCGCCCGGCTCGGGCAAGGGCACCGTGTGCCAGAGGATCGCCCAGAACTTTGGCCTCCAGCATCTCTCCAGCGGCCACTTCTTGCGCGAGAACATCAAGGCCAACACCGGTGAGGGGCTGCGGGGGCGAGGGGCGGGGGTGAGCCGCAGCGGGATCGGGTTAGGCCGGGGAGCGAAAGGGCCCAAGAGGGGCCGGGTTCCTCAATCCGCGGCGCCCTTCCCCCGCCCGCGTGCGGTCGTGCAGGCTCGTACGTGCCGGGGCGCATGCAGTCGGCGGCCCGCGGCCGCGCGGCTTAACCGCGCCCGGGGAGAAGGCTGAGGTTCGCCAGGAGGAGGGTGGGAGGCGCCTGCGGCTCCTCTTTCCACCCGGCTCCTCCTGCCTTGGGGAAAAGCCCGCAGTCACCGGCTGACGGAGCGAGAACCATGCAGCGAAAAACCCCGAGCTTCCCTCTCACGCTACCTCCTTAAGGCAAAGCCGGCCCCCAGCCCCTTGGTCCCCGGCCCACTACCCCGAGTCCCTAGAGAGCCGCGCGCCCCCTCTGGCTCGGGCCCCCGAGGCGGAGCGCCGCCCACCTGTGGGAGTCCGGCCGGGCTGCGCGCCGGGGAACCTGTGGCGCTGCGGGGCTCGCAGCCGCGCGTCTCTCCAGCCCCTCCGCGCAGCCTCGGGCCTCTGGGCAGAGTGAGCCCTGCGTGGCTTTGAAAGGCCTGTCTGTTCGCTGTCGCCTTCTAAGGTAAACTCTCCCCACCAACTCCCCCTCCACCCCAAGCCGGGGCCTGGCATTTAGGAGACTAATAGAAGACTCTGATAAATTACATTTTGAATCCAGCCTTCCTGGAAATGGCTTCTTGAGCTGCCTCCCTTGGCTAGAAAAGCCTCCCTTTCCTGGCGTGGTGAACTTGGGAATATACATCGCCTGATCTCTTAGTCTGACAGTGTTCAGTTCGTCCCTTTCCCCTTCTCCTCCCACTCCACGTTCGCAGCAGTCAATCGAATTGGCGTTAAAAGGCGAGAGGTAGCGGTGATGCTGCGCGAGGCGCATAACCCTTCTGGGATGCAGGTGCTCGGAATTAGCACCTCCTTTGCGAGAACTTGTATTGCAAACGGGTCTTGGCTGTGTCCAGGTTGGTTATTGCCCATCACGGGCTAATTATCCAAGGATCTACATTTCTGAAGCACAGGTTAGTTTGAAGAGGTGAATGGAGAATTGTACTTTAAAACAAAAGGAAAGCTTGAGAGCAAGGAGTTAAAGTATCTCTAAGGCAGAGTTTTATTCATTACCTCTTAAGCAGGTTGTAAAAGCAAGCATTTACCCAAACACTTTCCCCCACCCCCATGTCTTGGAAGGGAGAGAGTTCTGTGTACCGGATTGCACTTGAATTTTCACTTGTGGGTATTGTTACCTCAAGTGGGCCTATTTTGATTTGAATACTACATTCAAATGCATTTTATTCTTGGAATGCTGTGTTTGGAATGCAGTTTGAGGGGGGAGTAGCCCAAGAGAGAAAGCTGGCTCTCAACCTAAGGGTTTTGTGTTTAGGTTGGGCGGCTTCGCGGTAGGGAGATGGAGACGTTGAGGGAAGATGTGGCTAGGGTGGGTTGGAGCCCATCCCATAATTCCCTATACCTGACTTGGTGATTTGTTTCCTTCTAGCACTGGACTAGTGGTCCTTTCCATTTTTAAAGAGGATGTGATGGGAAATAGCTTACTTCTGCACTTTCTTAGGAGTTCTGAAAACTTTCCACTTGCCATTTTCCCTTGTTCTCATTTTTTTCTTTTTAACTTTTCTCTGGTTGGGTGTGATAGCTCACGCCTGTAATCCCAGCACTTTGGGAGGCCAAGACGGGAGGATCCCTCCAGGCCAGGAGTTCGAGACCAGCCTGAGCAACATAGTGAGACCTGGTCTTTACAAAAAATAGAAAAGTTAGCTGGGCGTGCCTGTAGTCACAGCTCCTCTGGAGGCTGAGGCAGAGTGAGACCCTGTCTCAAAAAAACTAAACCAAACAAACAAAAAACCTTTGTTCTGAATTTTAGTTTCCGCTATCTTTAAAATGCCTTCATTTATTTCCTCCGTACTGTTTCACCATAGAGTAAGAAGTGACGGAAATATTTATATTTTCCTTTTCTGTTGTGAATCAAGTAGTTTTTGCAAGAACCAATTTTAAAACCGTTCATGGGGAAAGAAGAAGAAAAATAAAGGGCATCAATTTTTTTTTTTTAAGTGATGTGTTTCTAGTGGACTTAAGGGTTGTTATTGGGTTATTTTTCTCTCTCAGAAAGTCTAAGAATCTTACAGGCTCACTGCCTGGTAAATAAAACATTCCACAGTCTTCATTTTTCTGTTACCTGCTGTTTGCTTTTAGCTAATTTTCTGCTAGAGGAGCACAACCACCCTCTCTGTATATACCTTTTTATAGTTGAAAGTTTGAAGGAGATGATGCAGCACAACAAAGCCCAGGAAATAGAACCGTGTAGGAATTTGCATTGGAAAGTGGTTCAGGCCATCTGCTCCAGCCTGGATTTGGGCATACTCTTTATCTATATGGCCTTCCTCCTGCAGGCAGTGCCTGGTGAAAAGCTACTCCTCAGGAAAGGGACACTCTGATGTCATTGCTTTTGGGAAGTCTTCTCTCACCTGCTCTGGCAGGATTCATCTCTTTCCTCTGCGCATATCTTGTTGATTATGTTGCTACTGTCACATAAAATTGTAATGCAGGGTAAAATGCAGGTATAATGCCTGTCTAATTCATACAGTAGATCTCTGCTAAGTATCTGCCATGTTGTCAGTGTTTTAGGTACTGGGAGCAGTAGCATTGTTCAAGATTATCTTGTGCCCCTTGTCCCTTCCACCTGTACCATGTTCTCATTCCCACTCTCAAGCTTAAAGGACAGGGATCTGGCAAAGTAGCTAATGCATGAAAGGAGTTCACCAAGTTTGTGTTGAAGGGCATGGGTCACAAATTCGGTCTATATTTTCCCACAGAAATCAGACAACCTACAGGCATAGAGTCCATAATTTTTAGTTAGCTTTATGGTAAAAGTTTGTACTTAGTATAGATCTGAGATTAGCTTCATGATAGCTGTCACCGTTGGCCCTTCCTAGACTGCCTGGAGCGGTCCGGGCTGAGGCTTATCAATTACCTTATTTGAAGACACACCCCCAGATCTTTGACTCAGATTTTCTTTAGCACAGTGCATGAGTAAATAGAGAGTTATGTTAGATTGCCAGGATCTGGGTCCTATACTCTGTCATAAGGAATATTAGCTTTCTTCTCTGTGTATGTGCATGCACACGTATGTATGAGTACATACACACACAGGGCTGGCACTCAGAGTGAGAGTGAGTCCTATTAAAAACACTGATATTTAGCAGTAGATTGTTTTGTTAGCTCATATCGGAAGGATATGAGAATCTTGTTTTAAGGATTGGACAAATAATGATATTTTTTAAAAAGCACATTATTTTATACTGGATCTATCATCTTTCAGTGCAGGAAAACTGGCAAATCTCCATCTGGAAGCATCTTGGACTTGATTGAGAGAAAATATGTTCAAGAACAAACCTGTTTCTGCTCTTAATATTAACTGCAGCTTTTGCTGGGGTTTACAGATGGGACTAGCATTTCAAAGTAGTTGATGGGCTGAGCCTCTTCTCTCTGAAAAGATGGCCTAGTTCAGAGGGCTAGGGTTTTTTGTTGTTGTTGTTGCTCATTAAGTATAAATGTGTATCTTTTCTTATGTAAGGGGTGGGGGAACCTCTAAGAATTGAAGGATAAAGAAATTGTATCAGAGAGACGTGAGAGCCAGGGCTCAACAATGTATCTAAAACAACTTTCAGGAGTTAACTTTTTCTTTTTCTTTTTTTTTTTTTTTTGAGGCAGCACCTTCCTCTGCCTTGGCTAGAGCACCGTTGCAAGATTAATAGCTCACTGTAAGAGTTAACCTTTTTTGTACATCATACAGGGTCTTGTGCTTATTACAGAATTTCTAGAGTATGCTGTATTCCATTTTTTCCCCTGGCTTGGTGAGATTCAGGATGTAGCACAGGTCAAGCAAGGGTCTAACTGGTTTTGAGGCCTCTCTCCAGTCCAAAGGTCCACTCCACATCTGCTTGCTTGTGTTTGTTTCTTTGAGGGTTTTTACACATATTTGAAGAGCACATGTGTGCCCTAAATAAGGCATCCCATGACAGTAAGTCTGTCTTAGCTACATGCATATGTGAATCTTTGCACATTTCTACCAGTGTGATCATTTTTTAAAAGTAGCTTTTACTGATCAAAGTCATGCTTTGTAGAAAATTTAGAAAATGTGAAATGGTAGAAGACACTGAAGAAGCAAGTAAAAATTACCCTTAATACCACTCTGACACTTTAAAGTGCTAACAGAAGTTATTTTTTTCTTTTCTGTATATTTGCCACCATCCCCAACAAACTTAGTGTTACAGTATTTGATAACTTTTCTTCTTCCTGCTAAGATATGTATTGTGAGAGTCTCCCTGTGTTCTTAAAGTTTTTTCAAAAATATTTTAAATGTCTGTATAAATATTCCATTCATTCAGCAGATATTTTTGAGTACATACTCAAATATTCTTTTGTCTATAGAGGGGAGAGTCCACAGGGAGGTGAGGGGATTGAGGAGACAGAAGGTAAGCATGTATGGGATAAACAGGACAGCATGAGAAGTGCGTATTATGAAGGAAATGAAATGGTGATGAGTTAGCGACCTGGGACAAGGTGGCTGTCCTAGGTTGTGTGATTAAGGAGGGCCTCCCTGGGAGGTGAACATATCCTCCATTCAAAACCATAGTAAATGAACATGCTATGATCTAAGAGCAGAGTGTTTCAGACAGAAGAAACAGTAAGGCAAAGGCCCTAAGGTGAGAACAAACAGCATGTTTGAGGAACAGAGAGAAAAGGCAGTATGTTAGGAGCCTAGTGAGCCGAAGGGCTGCAGAAGTAGGTTAGAGAGAAGAGCAGGTGCCAGATCAGGTAGAGCCGTGAGGATCCTGGTAGGTTTGGATTTTATCGTAAGGGCACTGGCAAGCCATGGAAGGGTTTTAAGTAGGACAGTGACATGCATGGATTAGCCTTCTGAAAGGTGACCTTTTGCAT